AATATAAAAAAGGGCTGGGACCTGGCTCAGTGGTTAAGTGCCCCTGGGTTCAATGCCCAGTACCAAATAAATAAATAGGTAAAGAGTCAATAATTGACCAGAATCAGGGAAAAAGAAAACAATACCTTGAGAATTGAAGTTCTGATTTTCATGCTTAAATTTTAAAATACAGTTCACATTGAAAAACTTTGTTGTATTTACGTTTCTATTTATAAGATGCTATAAATCCATTTGAAAATTGCTTACAATAATGAATAAATAGCAAAAGGAAGTTAATGCCTGATTTTTGTGCACATCACTCACTATCTTTCTTAGGAGTCAATTCCTAGGAAAAATAAGGTGCTCAACACTCACGGCTGATTTACAATCCTGTAATGTATAAAAGTGCCTGCTTCACTTGCCCTGAGACCACGTTTCATGTTTATCCTACTGTTTCTTAACTTTTAAATTAATTGTATCAAACAGTATGTGCCAAGCACGGTGTGAACAACTCCTTTGGTCCTCCCAGTTCCCTGAGGTAGGTTCCCACTATGGGACAGAAGACACTGGGGCACACAGCGGTTCCCTATGTGGTGAAGCTGGAGTTAGAACCTAGGAAGGCTGGCCCCAGAGGACGTGCTCTCTCATGGACCCTTTTCTCAGGTGGAAAGACCCTAGAAGGCAGGGATTTCTCCTCCGTTGCTGTTACTACTGGGGCGATTCTCAAGCTTCCCCCTCTGTCAGCATGATCCAGTGTAAAGAACAGCTGTCATCATGTGGGGACCCGCCCAGGGAGACTGGTGTATGAAAGTCCACTTGTTATGTAAAGAACCAGGGTGTCACTTCTTCCTGTCTTTGCTTGTGGGACTTGGCTTGTCTTCCAACCATAGGACACTGAGGTATTCTCCAATAACTAAGAGTCACTTCTTGATGAGATGTGGGTATGGTCTGTGTCCCTCCAAAAGTTCAGGTATTGGAGGCTCAGGGTGCTGCTACTGGCAGGTGGCAGAACCTTAGGAGGTGGGGTCTAGTGGGAGGTCCTTAGGTGACTGTAGGTGGGAGAGCACCCTTGGAAGGTAGCTCTTTGACTCCTTGAATTCTCCCAAGAGGCTTGTTACCAAAAAAGCAGCTGCCTAGCTCCCCCCAGCTCTCTGCTTCCTGGCTCAAGTTGTCTTCTTGAATCCGCACACACTTCTGCCGCAGTCTGGCTGGGCACACAATCACGAGCCACCACACAGCTTGTAGATTCAAACAGCAATTCTTTATTCCCGAACTCACACCAGCCGTCTACAATCACGTTCTGGGGAAATCCACGTTCTCTGCCCAAATCCACCTCCACTGGGCTTCTGTCTCCCAAAAATATACTGTCTGAATCCCGTGAGAACTCAAGGGGAACTCAGGCAGCAGGATACGCCCTATTCCCAGCAGGAATAATCTTAAACCTTAAACCTGGAACCTAAACTGGGAACGCCCTAAACCCGATTATCCTAAACTGGGAACACCCTAATCCGCCCTGGTCCTTGAGCAAGGTCACCTACATTCAATGTCACTGCAACATGGGGTACGCTGGCAAGGAAATTGTCATACCTACTTGGCTAATGGCTCCCAGCACACTTCCTCCATGGGTATCCACCATGAGATGATGCAGCAAAGGGCAGCCCCCAACACAGAGCCTACACCATGCTGTTTGGACTTGGAACTGTCAGCACTGTAAGTTAAATAAACCTCTTCTTCATAAGTAGCTTGGGTCAGGTAATTTGTTATAGTGATGAAAAGTTGACAAATACACTTCTTTAACTGCCAGGTAACTGTGCCCACCCAGTACTTAGTACCACACATGCGTGTGTGTGCAAGCACACACACACACACACACAGATATCACAGTAGGTACAAAAGACAACAGTATATTCTGATGCTGTAATATAGACCCCCCCAGTACCCAAAACAAGACATAATCTACTTCTCTTTCACTCCACAGTCCCGGGGTCAAGGATCCAAGACTAGAACAGCATGGCGTGCCTGGGAGGCCCAGTCTATTATTATTTTGTTTTTGTTCTATCCTCCATAGCAGGGGTTAGCAAGCTTTTTCATTTAAGGGCCAGAGAGTAAATAATACAGGCTTTCTGTCACAAACTCTTGTCTTGGCAAGTAGATGAATGAGAAGTGGCTGTGCTCTAATAAATTTTATTTGCAAAACAGGCCAAAGACTTCCCAATCGTTAACATAAGGAATCTACCTGGGTGTCCGTTATAGAAAGTGTGGTATATGCACACAATAGAATACTAGCCCATCATAAAAAGGGATGAAACCCTGTCATTTGCAGCAACATGGATGGAAATGGATATTAAGTGAAAGAAACCAAGCACAGAAAAATAAATACCATATCCTCCCTTATATGTGGATGCTGGGAGCCATTAGCCAAGTAGGTATGACAATTTCCTTGCCAGCGTACCCCATGTTGCAGTGACATTGAATGTAGGTGACCTTGCTCAAGGACCAAGGCGGATTAGGGTGTTCCCGGTTTTAGATAATCGGGTTTAGGGCGTTCCAGTTTAGGGCGTTCCAGGTTTAAGATTATTCCTCCTGGGAATAGGGCGTATCCTGCTGCCTGAGTTCCCCTTGAGTTCTCACGGGATTCAGACAGTATTTTTTGGGAGACAGAAGCCCAGTGGTGGTGGATTTGGGCAGAGAACGTGGATTTCCCCAGAACGTGATTGTAGACGGCTGGTGTGAGTTCGGGAATAAAGAATTGCTGTTTGAATCTACAAGCTGTGTGGTGGCTCGTGATTGTGTGCCCAGCCAGACTGTGGCATGTGGAAGCTACAAAGTTGATCTCAGAGAAGTGGACAGTAGTGGTTAAGAGAGTCTGGGAAGGATGCGTGCGGAGGGGCCGGGGACAGGATGGCTGATGGGGACAGGCGAGCAGTCGGATAGGAGGAGTACAGCACAGTACAGTATCTATGGTTGACAATAACTAATTGTATTTTTAAATTTGCTAGTAGAGAGGGAATCGTGTTCTGGGTTGAAATGCCAATTACCCTATCTATTCACTCTCTACACATATTGAAATGAACACTTTAAATATGTATGATAATTAGATGTCAACTAAAAATAATATATTAAAAACCAAATACCCACAGGCCACAGTCTGCTGATCCCTGCCCTACAGAGCCTGCATATAAGTCACCCAAGGACCTTGCTGAAATGGACGTTCGGATGTGGGGAGTCCCCCTTTCCAACAAGCCCTGGGTGAAGGTGATGCTGACAGCTGTGCCATCATCCCCGTGCTGCTCCGGCTCTAGTCCTTGCTCAGGCCCCACCGACCTTCCCAGGTCCCTGACGCCAGCACTGAGCGGCTGGAGTGTCTCCAAGGAGACCAGCCCCTGTCCTCATCTAACTCAGCCCTGGTGTGCCCGGGGCTCTCCAGCGACTCTTCCTGCCTCCCCTGCTGTGGCCTCTCCCCGGCTCCACCCCAGGCTCACAACCTCTCAGCGCTTTACAAACCTCAGGCTCAAGCCTCCAGCCCGAAACTCCACCCACCTCCGCCATCTGTGGGTGCAACCACCTGACTCCGCTCAGGTATGTCCTGGCCACTCAGAGCAGGTCCAACCCCACCTCTCCACGCCCGCTTCCAAGCAGGGTCCCCCCCCCCCCCCCCCGGGGGCTCTGCCACTGAGTTGGTGGCATCAGTAGGATGCAGCTCTCAAGGCCCAAGCGGGCTGTTTGCCTCCTACCTCCTCAAGCCCCTCCCCACGCCGCAGGTTCCCGCCCACCGCCACCATCTCCGCCACCCAGCTGGCTTCAAGTGGGAGCAGGGACTCCTGGAGTCCCAGAGCCCCTTCTCCATGAGGGACTTACCCAGTCACAGTGACAGAACAAGAATCAGACCAGCGGCTGCCAGGGACCGAGGGAGGAGGAAACGGGGAGTTCACATTCAAGTTTGGGGGATGATAAAAACTCTTAGATAAGGTCACACAGCCATGTGAATGCGCAGGATGCCACTGACCTGGACACTAGCAACGATTTAAATGGTAAAGTTTGGGTTGTATTTTACCACAATAAAAATGACTTGGGGTGCTGGGGCTGGGGCTCAGTGGCAGAGCACTTGCCTAGCATGGGTGAGGCACTGGGTTCGATTCTCAGCACCACACACAAAAATAAGCAAATAAAAAAGACATGCTGTCCATCTACATCTTAAGAAAAATAAATAAAAAATGATTTCAGTTGCTGAAAAAAACAAATCCCAAAGCATTATCAGGATCGAATACTTTCCAACCAGAGTCAAGTAGACACATGAGATATAAATTCTGCCTCAAGACTACTGCCCTAATTTATTTTTCTGCTTTCATTATCCCTCACCGTCCCATCACGAAAATAGTAACAATTCATTCTTATTCCACTATATACTAAAGCAGGTAAAAATCCTCACTGTACTGGCATATTGCCTTAGCCCTAGGATTAAATTAACAAGGAAACTGGAAGTGAGTGTTCATTCACTTAAAGATGTCTTTCTTATTTCTCTTGGGATAATGTTTCCAGGGTTCATCTATGTTGGGGTGTGCATCCAAATTTCATTCCTAAGGCAGAACGATATTCCACTGTATGGATGTACCACAGTCTGTTTATCCATCATCTGTGAGTGGACTTGTGGGCTTTTCCCACCTTTTGGCTATTGTGAACAATGCTGCCGTGAACACAGCTAGTCCACCTCTCTCCTGGCTAGACATCTAGAAAAAAAAAAAAACCCAAAATCTTAACATTATTCAATACTGGGGGCAGAAAGAAGGGTGCTTCACCCACACCAGGTCCCTAAATGGGCAACCTTAGGGTTCTCCAGCAGCTCAGCGAGCTTGGGTTAGCTCCCTGCAGAAGGGCAGTCCTAAGGGGATAGCACACCCTCTCTCCTTCCCCAGGCCCCCACTCAATCATGGCCAAAAGGAATTCATTCCAAGCAGGCAAAAATGCAGCATTCCACCCAAAAACCACTCCAACTTGAAATTTCCAATAAAGACAAAACTATATGTAAAAATAACAGATTTTTATTAAAAGTTAAAAACGTCTTCCAAGTTTACACACAGCAAATAGATGATTCCACCTCGATGCACTTCTAACATCAACGACAAGCAGATACAAACTGGTCTGGCAAAACATGCATTATGACCTAACAACCCCTAAATACTTGAATTCAGGCTAAGCCTGCTTCCTGGGAGGGCAACTGAACACTTACCAGAATGTGCCCGGCTGCTGTCCTTGCCCCAGTGACTGGCCTGGTGGAGGGGCAGGAACAGTCCCGGCCAGAGCAGGGGGCTGAGGAGGGTTGCATGAGGCTCTCTGCTTTACTCCAGCAGCCCCAGGGAGAGGCCAGCGCTCCTCCAGCCCTGAGCAGTGTCCATCAGGCAATGCTCGACCCTGGCTGCACGTGACAATCCATGGAGAACTTTTGGGAAAATCCTGATTGCCTGAGCCATAGACCAATTAAGTCAGAAATTCCGAGAATGTGCCCCTCCATGTTCTGAAAGCTCCCTGGGCGCTCAGGGAGGGGAAACCCATGCAGTCACTCATTCTCAACCCTTAACCTTCTTAGAAGTCTCCCTTGTTCTGATTTAAAATGCTGGCCATGCCTGACACATTTGTTGGTCTGTGAAAGTCACGACATTTTGATGGTGAGTCTTCTTCCACTGATTTATAAAGGGTTTACAAAAAAATAGAGCACCCGGATTTCATAAAAAAATTTATTTTCATATAAAAGTGCCAAAATATCCGCCAATGTCACAATCTATCTCAACAACCAGTTTACGCTAGTAATCAAAACACAAGCCTTTTTATTCACATTGTTTAAAAATCCAATTCTTTTCACACATTCCCACAGTAACTCGAGTCTCTGGACAGTGGGAAGTTGGCGTTCCGATTTGCTGTGGAAGTCCATATGTCCAGGTTCATGTAGGCACGGAACGGGTTGAACCCTGGGTAGTACTCCTTGCAGACGACCGCCTGGCTTTCCAGGTGGGCTGAGTGTTCTGGGGTGGGGCTGACCGGGCAGCAACTTTCATACACATCGCTCTGCGGGGCCCAGATAGAACCAAAAAGTCCAGACATTGGAGACAAGCTTCGGGTGCTGGTGAGGTAGGGCTGGGGTATAACAGGAAGGAAGGAAAGGTTAAAGCAAAAAGAAGCTGCGGAGAGGCAACGTCAAGGCTGAATAAGCACCCGAGGACACCGCCACCCACCAACCCTGATACCTGGAAATTACTTTCTACTCCATTTTGCTCAAAGAGGATTGCTGTGAAATCCTCACCTAACTGGATAAGCTTACTTGCAATCTAAGGAAGGACTCACAGCCAAATGCCCTCCATAAATTCATTTAAAAAAAAAAGGATAAAATGTGGTGAAAAAGAAGGTGTTGGGCCCTATCGCTGACCCCAACCCCTGACCCCAACCCCTGACTGACCTTCCTGGGACTTTCACTGCATCTTACCACAGTGGAAAAGGGCAGTGAGGACACATAAAGACAGCTGTGTCACACGGGGCCTTTCTTGCCCAGTGACAAGAGGTCATCTACGACCTCTGCCTGATGCGGTCTAAGAGGACTTTTTCAGTGGGGGAGGTCAGAATGTCATGCTCTGCAGGTGCCCACCTGTCTGACCACATTAGCCTCCTCCAGAGGCTGGCCAGAGGGGGCTTCTGTGATTTAAAACTGGCCAAGCTTTGGCTGAACTGAACGCTGCGCTAAAGGATTAAAGAAGGATTAAATGACCCAGAGCTGCCCCTACCGCAGAGTTGACGTAACTGGCGTGTCCCCAGGCGGAAGGCACGTTGGGTGGGGTGTTCCAGGTCGACTGAGAATTGTGATCGATAAAACTGGTCTGAACTTCTGCAGGACAAGGAAAGCCGTTGGCGTAATTCATGTTTTCTACAAGAACAGGAGACAGCAACACGGGTGAACATTTTCATAGAGAGAACTGAATTCTCAGTCTGAAGCAAAAAGATGTCAAGGTCTTACTCCACTGCCAAGTGAAAGACAAACGTTACTTAACTCTGTGTGGACGGACCAGGGGGTCATTGCACTGTCAGTCTCAAGGTTAAACCTGTCTATGAGACACACCACCTGTGGAGCCCTCCGTGGGGAAAGGCTTCTTGGGTCCTGTTTTTCTGTATTTGATGGTAGTCTTTTCAACACACAAAGCACACTTCAAATATTACCATAGATTTGAACAGTGACAAGATTCGTACCAGTTCTTAAATGGTTCTTTTTTTAAAAAAAATATTTTTAGTTGTACATGAGCATAATGCCTTTATTTATTTTACTTATTTTTAGGTGGTGCTGAGGACTGAACCCAGTGCCTCACACAGGCCAGGCAAGCACTCTACCACTGAGCCCCTTAAACATTTCTTTGCTATTTGTTTTTGGTGATGCTGAGTTTCACTGTAGGAAGTGCTCTACCATCGAGCCACACTCCTCCAGTTAAAAAAAAAAAAATTATCTGCTGTGCCTGTTTCAGCCACCTGCCCATGAACCACAAGGCCTGGTAAAGCAAGTGGGAGCCAACTACTTAGGAAGAAAGTTACCAAAGCACCCCCTTGTGGTTAGCAAAGAGCACTGCATGTCCCCACAGCCCTTCCTGGAAACGGCAGCTCTAGTAGGAAAAACCATGATCAGGCTGTAATCGAAAATCAGAGCATTTTCCAGGTGATCAAGGAAATCCCACACCTCTTCCTTATTATGACAGATGCCTCAGACCCCACGTCTACAACTGTCCTTGATTTCCTTGCTAAGCTCCTTTCCTTCCTTTTGTAGCACCACCCCCAGGGGCAAGTCCCTCAGGGCCTGGAAGAACAAATAAATAGGTTCTATTTCATATGGGACCTGCCTCCCTATAAACAAAACAAACAGCAACAACTAGGGCTCCAGCCGTCCAACAAACCATCCATCCTGTTTGGGCCACATAAGTACAAATGACCCAGTTCTACCTTATTTAGAGAACTAAACAGAATAGGGTAACATGCAGAAGCCCCCAGACTGAGAATTTCTGAGGGCCACGTAAGATAATGTCACTGGGATGTTCCAGCTTTTACCTTCTGGAAAGGCATTGTAATCATTCAGTTCCAACGGGCAGTACACACTGGGAAACTGGCCCTCACAAGTCGCGCTCCAGTCGATGAAACTGCTACAAAACACAAGACGTCTAGTTTCAGAATTGGGATGAGAATAGTCAAGTGGAAAAATCAAATAGTCAAAGAGGAGAATCATTTTATTTCCCAGCATCCTCATACCTGCAAATTCCCCAATTTAGGAAAATAAAAGATGATACTTTCTCCAGTCACAGAATCTAAGATTTACTGAATAGTCATTGCCAATGACCTGCCTTCTGCAGGACGGATGGCATTGGCAAGGTGTGCAATTCTTTTTTTTTTTTTTTTTTTTTAATTTTTTATTGTTGGTTGTTCAAAACATTACATAGTTCTTGATATATCATATTTCACACTTTGATTCAAGTGGGTTATGAACTCCCATTTTTACCCTGTATACAAATTGCAGAATCACATCAGTTACACATCCATGTCGAGTCCAGACAGACAAAGAGTCCAAGGCCAAGGCTTTATTAGCCCCGCAAAGAATGACTCTTACACACACACACCCAGAGGACTCAGCTACTGAAATGTCCTCCTCCCACTCCCAGCAGGACCAGCTCAGGGCAGTCACCCCTATAAACACTGCAGCTCCCAATATGTTGATCACGGTTGCTGAGTGGCTCTCATCACAGAAACGAGACAGCAAAGGCTGTTGTAATATGCTGACCCCAAAACCTTCCATGGGTTCTGTGATCAAACAAAAATATCAACATTGTCTCAAGTTTCCCAAATTGAGTGACATTCACACCAAACGGTGAATTTAAGTAGTATTGTGTCAACTACTTTTTGACATTCAATTTCTTTGATTCTTTCAAATTTAAAATGTGTTCAAGAGTGATGCTCTGGAAAAATGGAAGTCTCTTGCTGAGGGGGCAGGGATGGAGCGTGTGTCTTTCAAATTTGCCTCACGTATGAATAGGTCACTATTTCAATTAAAAAAAAAGGAAAGTCATGAAAGGGCCACCAGCTTTTACTCCGGTTTCTCTCAATGCCTGGCTTCTTGTTTTCTAACACCACAATTCCAAAAGGCAGGAGAAGACACACAGCTTTAGTCCCCCGAAGTAGCAGCTGCCCCCTAATATTTATAGGGACTTCCTAGCAGACAACTCAGATTCCAACTGGGAGCCCTGGGCTCAGTGGGGTGACAGCGGGGGGCAGCGCACCTGCTGTGGACCGGGGCGGGCTCCTGCAGCACTCCGGGTGCCCTGTTCTCCAAAGCGCAGCTCAGGCTGTTTGTCAGACACACTGGCTGTGGGGGCCACAGGTCTCCGGGTGGGTACAGACCTACAGAAGAGAACAAGGTCCTCAGTCCACCTCTTCCACTCATCCCTGGGTACCCCTCCTCTAATACCCAGTTCAACGTGTCTTCTTTCCAGAAAATACTACCCCATACCACCCACGCATACTGACTACTTGTGCCTTCCCAGACCTCTTCTGGGGTCATTTCAGGATACATGCTGAAATATAGCAGGTCACTTTAATCTTTGCTTCAGGTGGTGCACGATTACCTCCTGACCTGGATGACAGCGTGCGTTCACTACTCAGCAAGTATGAGAGGGCTCACTTTCTGTAAGGCCCCAATACAGATACCAGGAAGCAGCCATGAACAAGTGCATTCAAGTGAACAGAGATAAATGGCAAAGAAAAAACAAGCACGGCACGGCAGAGGTCCACAGACTATGATGACAAACAGCAATTTTAATTAGGACGGTCAAAGGCCCCTCTGAGGGCACATCCCATTGCAGATGTGCCAGAGGACAGGGAGGGAGTCACTCAGGTAAGGGGAATCACATGCCCCACAGTGGGGACAGTCTACAAAGGCCCTAAAGCAGTGTGCCCGGTGAGTCTCCAGAGAAAGGGGACCAGTGTGGCCAAAAAGAGGGTGTGAGGATGGGGGGTGAGGCTAGAGAACTGACTGTGAGGACACAGCTTGTGGCCCCTTGAAGCATCTGGGCACTGCCTTTGAGTCTAATGGGAAGCCACGGAGGTCCTGGGCAGCATGGCTGCAGGACACAAGGCCCCACAGGGTTCTCCCATTTCTGTGGAAGTGCTGGTGGCCTCTGTTCTGGACCATCTTTTCAAGGATTTTTGCTAAGCGAAACCCTTGGGGAATGTAGGCTCTGCCTCTGGAGCAAAGGGCAGGCAAGATTATTGCCTCTTACAAGATCTGGGTTCCCTAAGCTCAGGCTCCTCTCCTGTAACACGCCCCCACCACACGGAGGCATCCATCTGGGCTGGTGATGACAGCTGGCGCCAATAGACGGATGCCTGTGTAGCTGGCTTGGCCTTACCTACGTTTCTGCTTTATGGGAATTAATGGCCGCTGTCCCTCTGGGTAAACTTGGTGTCCACTCTGCCATCTGAGGCAAAGCTGCTGGCTCAGTGGGGCCCTCCATTCCCTGAGGTTCCCCAGATGGATGGCTCACTCATGTTTGGGTTTAGCCGAAACCTCGTGTCTTCACAATAGACTTCACAGCGATTGTCCTAACAGTTTAGCCTGCTACTTGAAGCCACAGACTGGCAGATTAAAGCCATAGACGACAGAGTGAGGGGTGCCTCGGTCACCTGGCCATTTGGCCTCTGGGCAGGGGGCAAGCAGGGCCCTGGGAAGCCGACTGCATCTGCTGGACCATGCGAGAATCCTCATCACACAGGACAAATATTTCCTGACATCTAGGTGTGCTTTTATGTTCATCTCAAAACAAAATTCTGAACTCAGAACACGGCAGGTACTTCTCTGTTATCTTCTAGAGCGGGCAGACCTGCTTCTTTCATCCAGCCACCTTCCCTACTGAAATACGGAGGGATACACATCACCACAGGGAAAGCTGCTCATCACCTCCATGGTTTGGGATGGAAACGATGCTTTTCTTTTGTTCCACCTTTCAGATTCAACACAGAAAGAAGCCCTTAGGATGCAGTTATCCTACTGACTTCTCCAGGAAGTAAAAAGCAACTGATACGGGTCTTCTGCAATTTGCTTAATTATCAAAAAAAAGTTTGCAAGCAGAAGGCTGATGTTTAATTTGAAACAGGTGCTTAGGTCATGGTATTTGTGAATTCTTTGTCTTTTGCTCCAAACAAGACAACGAACAAATGGCAAGTGTGGATGACTTCAGGGTTTTTAAAACATGTGTTCCAGTTTCAGCCACTATTATGATAAGCACATTTGAGATTGCAGCAGTAAATTACAAACATTTGTTGTAATTTGAAAAGAAAGAGATGTTAGAAAGTTACATATATCTCTAAATTCTGTTCATTTTGTGACATAAATTTACTGGACAGAAACAAAGGTCCAGTTTTCTAGTTAACCCCCAGTATCTTTTTTTTTTTTTTTTTTTTTTTGTAGTTGTAGATGGACAGAATGCCTTTATTTATTTTTTTATGTGGTGCTGAGGATTAAACCCAGTGCCTCACACATGCGAGGCAAGCACTCTACCACTGAGCAGCCTAGGCCTGCAGTTAACCCTTTGATGTGGTGAAGAAGCATAAAGACAAGATACCAAGATTGATTTCATGTCCAATATACCTATTTTTCACGTGTAAATCCACATTTTTGGATGATAACAGGGATTTTTCTCCTGGAGAAAGCAGCTGTTGTTGACTTTTTCAAAAGTCTTGGAACGTTTGCTATTTTAAAATTTTGTCATTCTTCGACAGAAGGAGCAGATTGCGTAGCAGCTAACCCTGTAAACGCATGCTTACATTTAATCGAAAGAATGGTCAAAGCAAGCCCAGTTTGAGTCCATGATGGAACCCTATCCACCTTCCCAAGATGAGAGGCTGCTGTACTATAGTTTTATTCACCCTTTTTTTGTGAAGTCACATAGCACAGTAGAGTTAGTTTTCCATGTGGCCAACCTGGAAGAAAAGTAGCACGAATAGTTTTTTTAGTTAAGAAGGTGTGATAGACCCTAGAGTATGACCTGCCTTCGACTTTGGTCATACAGTAGAAAAAAAAAAAAATTAGAAGTTTCTATATAACTCCTTCTTCCTAAGAAAAAGAAACAAAAATGTCTTATGTAGCACCATTTGACTCTTTTGGAATTTTAGATTACATAGTCCCATTTTTTGAAGTCATAAGTAAGTAACTCTTTTTCTTCAACCCAGATGGGTACTTGGATTTATTTTTCTAGGTGGTAGTTGTAACACTAAACTGAAAAGACTTGGACTCAGGGTAAATTTCCCTGGTTGGAATTGGACTTTCTCATCAGCAAATGGTTCTATCTCAGAACCAATATTCCTAATCCTGTGGTTGTTCCATTGTAGATTTAGAAATTCAGGATCTGAAAAAAAACTCAAATAAAAAAAAAATAGTTCCAATTAAAAAAAAATAAAATAAAAAGGACTCTTTGGGACTGTGAAATGCAGAAACAAATTTTGGTCTCTCATTATACTTCCAGGCCACTGAACTAGAGGCCCCCTGTTGGGGCCCATTCTCTGCTCAGACCAGGTGGAATCTAGCCACCGGTGGAGTCTGCCCCACCCAGACTGCCATCCTTACTGCTGGGTCCACCCCCACAGAGGGGAGGACTGCACGCTTCCACTGTGGCCACTAGCTACCGTGGCCTTCCGGACTGTGACCACTGCTGACCACACTGGAGACACGGTCTACCTGCGCTCTGCCTGACAGAGGTCCCACCCGAGGAAGTCCAACAACTGTAAACGGCACTCTCCTTCCAGGACTACGCAAGTGCCCCAGGATTGTTCTTGTGAGGAAGCCAGGCAGGAACTTGGCCTCCCTCCCCAAAACAGAGATTTGCTCCTTGGGGGTAAGTCTGAGAGACCTCTGAGTATTTGAAGAAATACCACCAACAGATGATGCAGCCTACATATGACGATGCTTGCTCAAAAATGAGGCTGCCCCGGGGAAAACTTCCTGCTCCTAAACATGCTTGAGTAGTAATCACTATGAGACAAAGTCCATCCAACTAGAAAAGTGGCATTAGCTGGCTGCGGTGGCACATGCCTATAATCCCAGAGGCTTGAGAGACTGAAGTGGGAAATCATTTAAACCCAGGAGGAGTTTGAGGTCAGCGTGGGCAACACAGTGGCACCCTAACTTTAAAAACCAAAAACCAAAGGTGGTATGACATTTGTCCTTGGTACTGGCCAGGCCAAAGCGATCAAAGATACCATGTTGACCCTGGAAGGTATCTCTCTGCCCAGAGATGTCAGGGACGATGGGGTTGCCCTCCTGCAGGCCAAGGGGGAATCTGTGCCATCATAAACATACTCTGCTATACCAGAGTACCACCTCCTGCCAAGGGGAAGGCCAATGCAGAAATGGCTTACAGAGCAAGCCACCTGGCTTCCTATGTAGACCTCGGGGGTTTATGGGAGTTGTTCGGCTGGATGGGGCTGGATTCTCTGGGGCACACTGAAGTCAAAACAGCAGGGTGGTTTCATTCTGCTGCTTCGAATCCTGTTGATAGCAGCTGCTATAATGTTGTAAGTGACAAATCAGACAGACTTGATCCCACCTTCTGTTTAATTATGATTTATTAAGAATTGCTGGGGCTGGGATTGTCGCCCAATGGTAGAATACTTGCCTAGCACATGTGAGGCCCTGGCTTTGATACTCAGCAACCAAATAAAAATAAATACACAGAATAGAGATATTGTATCCATCTACAAATAATAATAAAAATCAAAAAGAATTGCTAATAGAACAATGCACTCAAGAGAAAATCAGGAGCCAAGGCTACACACAGAAACAAGAAGTGTGCATATCATAAGACAAGTCTCTATGCTTCTGTACTGTGTGCCAACAGAAACCCCTTGATTCTGGCCCATGTTTCCAAGAATGCTTTTAGGCAAAGCCTCAAAGATAAAGGAAATATCTGCTTTTGGAACAAGGGCAAGTATGCTTAATGTCTACTAAAATAAAGACAATGCCTCCTGCCCATGGTAAAAGACTCGGGTTCCCTGAGTTCAGGGTTCCTTTCCTGTCTGTCACCCCCATGGCACTGGAGGCAAGGAGAGCGGACATGAACATGCTGATGCTCATGCAGCCTCCTGGGCTAGCCTTCTGTCTTGGACCCAGGTGGCTTTTGTCTTCTGCCAGCTCATACAAAATGTCAGCAGCTAACTTGTGAACTTGAAAGTAGCAGAAGAACCTCAGAGGCTTTGAGGTTCTTGCCAGTGATGTGATCTGACTTGTGTTTAGCACAATCATTCCGGCCTCTGTGTTAACAATGGGGACAGGGTAGAAGCAGGGAGACCTGTTAGGAAGTTATTGTGATCCTACTAGTGGGAAGTAAGGATGGCCTGGATAACTATGGTGGAGGTGGTGGGCAGTGACCAGATGCTGGGGTGTCTGGAAGGTGGCCTGCTGACAGAATAAGACTGCAGCATATCTGAGACACAAGAAAGCAAAGTCCAGGATGACTCCTAGACTTGGGACCTGAATAATCAGAAAGATTGGAAAACTATAAGGAGAGCAGTTCTGAGGGAGATGATCAAGTAATGGGGGTACCTGCTGGAACCCCCAGAAAAAATGTCAAACTGACAGTCACTGATGATGCCAGAGTTCCAGAGAGACCCAGGTGGCAGACACAAATGTGGGAGTTCTCAGGGTAGAGAGTGACACTTAAAGCTTTGAAAATAGGTGAGATCCACAAGGGCTACAGAGATGATGCTCTGGAGGGCCGTGATCATGAGAAGAGGTGAGGAGGCGCTGAATCAGGAACCTACAGCATGTGACACGGAGACCAGAGTCAGAGCTGCCCAGGGACTTAATGGGGAAACACCAGGGACCAGCAGCAGTGCTCCAGTGGAGAGGAGGTGCAAGAGCTGGATTGAGGACTTCTACGGAGCACAGGAGGCAAAGAACCTGAATTGGCAGGCACCGGCCGTTCTTTAGAGGAGTCCCCTAAGAACAGGAGCTGAGAAGTTGAGCAGCAGTGACTGAAATGAGTGGGGAGAAGGGGTCTGGGCTATTGCTGGATTCTTACGGCATATTTGCGAGCACATGGGAGTGACCTGTGAAGACAAAACTGATGAGAAGTTCGCGACAACAGCCTTGGACAGGAGAATGGCACCAACAACTCCACAGGCTGCAACAGGAGGGGAGCAGAGAAGGGAGCGAGGTGGGGCGTGTGGAGGGGGTGTGGGAGCTTCCTGAAAGGTTTCGAATTGCTTTTCTCTTTCCAGTAAGACAGAAAGCAAGATCGACCAAGAGAATGAGACAGAGGCAACGAAGTGTCAAGACAGGGCTTCTGCAGCTTGATTGCAAGGAAGGGAGAAGAGTCAGGGAAACCACTGCACCTGGGGGTCAGGGCACTTCTGCCAGATGAGAAGGGAGGTGCAGAGCTGGGAGGGACGGGCCAAGACTCTGAAGGCAGAAGACTGTAGGCAAAAGCTGTTTTTCTGTGACTTCAGGACCTAACTAGGGATGGTCACAGCTGACCAGGTGTAATAGGTACCGGCTATGAAGGAGGAGCGGGTTAAGGCACTGGGCACACACATACGCATGGATCACAATAGCAGAGTACATACACATCCCCCTAGTTGACAATACAACCAGAAACTGAGTACAGTAAAGGGTTTCTGGTTTTGGTTTTGGTGCCAAGGAGTGAAGCCAGCATGTGCTCTTCTCGAGCTACACCCCCAGCCCCAGGTGTCTGTTTTGAATTTTTAGTTCCCTGCCATTAATCAAATCCTCTCTTTCCTCAATTACCTCATAGGAACAAATATAGGACCATCTAAACCTCCCCTCTTCTTGCCTTAGCAAATTACAAACCATTCAATTTTAGATTTCCCTTTTATTAAAAACATTTACTTTACTGGACTCGTCATTTGATCCAATTTACAAATAATCTGTTTCTGCTGCTAATGTGACAAGTGGAAAACATATTCAAGGAACAGCACAGAGGCACTGTATTTCCAAATAAAAATTCTCCAATGGATAGAGCAGATTTTACATCCAGCTTTCATGTGTCTGAGCAGAAGGAAGCATGTGCATTAAAGCTGAATGACACCAGGAGTATCCTGTCAGGATCCCTGACCCTGATCTGGCAAGGAAGAAGCCCCAGAATAAGAGGAGACTAAAGGCACAGACAAAGAAAGGTGGAAGAGCAGGGTCAAGGAGAGGGAAACCAAGGGGCGTCGGGAATGAACCCCCCGTTGGAGGAGAGGTG